GCGGTGGGAGTGGAAGGGGGGCTGCAAGGGCACATGTCTAGACTTCATGGGATGAACAGGGCAGGGGAGGCAAACCTGTCCCTGGCATGGCATGGCTGTACCTTGCTGCAGCGGTACGAGACAATTGGCATCAGCTCCCAAGCAGAGTGTGAAGTGATGGAGCCTGCAGAGCTGGACACGTTGATGATGGCTGCCTTGCTGCAGCTCAGCACTGAGCCTGGGCTCCCCTGGGCAGCCTTCTTCAGCAAGGGCAGGAACGCCTGCAGGTAGGAAGAGGAGACAGGGGCGCACACGGAGGTGGCACAGGAGTGAGGACCAGCTCCTTCCACAGCCCCCTCCCTCCTATTCCTACTTCCCCAGCCTGCCAGGCTTCAGCTCCTGAGCTCAAACCCACAGCTCTCTGAGCTTCTTGTTGGGCGAGAGTCCATTGGATGCCGGAGCAGAGGAAGGACCCTCTCCCACCGGCCCTTATCCCCCTGGGACAGCACAGCTTTGGTGAGGGTCTCACCTGGCTCATCAGCAGGGGCCCAACCGTGTTGGTGGTGTAAATCTGGGTCATGTCCTCCAGCGTCTCGGTATCGAGCGTGTTCAACTTAGCAATTCCAGCGTTGTTGATGAGGAGATTCAGCCCCGAGCTCCCCAGTTGCTCCCCGAGTCTGGCTGCAGCTGCCTTGATGCTGGCGGGGTCGGTGACTTCTGCAGAGCCAATGCAGGGCAGGTCAGTATCCCCACGGTGGCTTGGGGTTCCCTGTGTCCCCCCAGAGACATGTCCTTGGGGCTGGCCATGGGCAGGAGGGATGGCAGCTCCCTGCCCTGTCAGCATGGCTCCCTCCCAGCATTGGGCTCCTAGGGGATGCACAGCACCCGGCTACACTCCAGGGGAACCAGGGTGTGGGCCCCCCACTTCAGGGCACCTACTAAGTGGGATGATGACCAGGTTGGAGTGCTTGGAGACCAATTTCTGTAACTCCTGCAAGAGAGGGGACTGCGTGGGCACAGAGAGGCAGGAGGGGCTGAGCAGAGGCTCAGCCTTTCCCAGGCAAAGGTTGTGTCGTTCCAGCTCTGTCCCTGCACCACCTTGCATCCAGTGCCTAGTTCTGGCTGCGCTGCTCCCATCAGATGGGACTATGCCTCCCGCACACGCCACGCACCATTGTCCCCTCTGCACATCCCATGCACAGCAGGTCCCACAGCCATCACAACCCAGCTGTCCTGTGCCGCGGGTTCCTGGCTGCACCTCAAGCCCTTTGCAAACCCCCTCCCTGTGCCAAGGACTGCCCTGGCACCAAGAGCTCCCATCCCCCAGCACAACCCGCTGCGTCCCAGCCCAGCCTCACCTGTGCTTGCTGCCCCTTGGGGTCCCGACATCCTGCAAACACCCACTCAGGTGGCTTTGGCAGCCCCAGGAAATGCTGAACAAGCCCCAGGCCAATTCCCCGGTTGGCCCCCGTCACCAGAACCGAACGCACACAAAGCCCTGACATGCTGCTCCGTCTGCTGCTGAACTGCTCTCACCCCGACGCCGCAGGTGCCTTTTGCTACTTGGTTATCTCGTGTTTTCCCGCGAGGGCTTGCATCAGCTTATGGCCCTAGGAAATCTTCTTGGCTGTGGTCCATATCTGTGATCTACCTTTCCTGGTGGTCAACGACTAACGCAAGGGAGCTGAGTGTCCTGCCTGGGCAGGGAATGTCCTGGGCTAGATGGCTGGAGAGCTGCTCTTTGTACCTTCTCTGCTCCACCAAATCTGAGCCGCGTGGCTTTCCGGACCAGTGCTACTGAAGTTAACTGAGGTGTCCCCTCCTGCTGCCACCTTCCTTCTTGGGACACCAGGCTCTGTTCCTCCCCTCATCCAAGGTCAAGTAGGCCACTGACCCTGCACAGTGCAACTGGCCTCAGTTTGTGCAGCACCAAAGCCAAGGTCAGGAATCACAGAATCACACAATATTAGGAGTT